CGGCTAACCCAGACTGTTCACTTTAAACTCTGCGTTGGCTTTTCTAGTTTGTTCCACCAGCCCATAATGACATCACTCTCTAAACAAATGCACATACAGATGTACACGATCATTCAGGCCACTCTGATGATTCACAGCTTTGGTCGAAGTAGTGTCCTGAATCCACATCTTGCTTCTCTCCTTCGAAATGTGTTGGGGAGTTTAAGAGCAAGTTGAAGTTATTAAAGATACCTAGTCAGCTGTGAAAAACTTTAGTCTGGGCTAAAAAGTCAGGGCAGACTGTCATTTCTTCATCTTCTTATTGTGAAAACCTTGTGTTTCCAGATCTGGCAACTTAATAATTGCAGGCTTGCTATTTATTCATTTATTTATTTATTCATTCATTCTGGCGTAAAATCTAAAAAAGAAACTAAATCCACAAACAAAAAAGTTGGAACGCTGTGTAAAATGAAAATAAAAAGAAGATATTTGCTAATAACCCCATATTTTAGTCACATTAGACCATAAAAACATTTGAAATGTTTAAACTATTTCATGATAAATATTAGCTCATTTTGATTTTGATGCCAGCAACATGTCAAAAAAAAAAGACCCCAAAGGATGAGGGCAACAAATAAAAGAAACAGCTGGAGGAACATTATGCAGCTGATTAGGTTAATTGGCAGCAGGTCAGTAACATGATTAGCTCGAGAGCATCTTAGAGAGAGTTTCTCAGAAGTAAAGATAGGCAGATCTGTAAAAAAAAAAAGGCTGCATCTTTAAAATGTGGAACAATTTCAAAATAACATTCAACAACAAAAAATTGTCAAGAATGAATATATAATCATCTGCATTCAAATATCATCAAAAGACTCAGAGAATCTGGAGAAATTGCTGCGCCATAGGGATAATGTCAAAAATCAGCCTTGAGGCCGCCTGGCAGCACAGCGTTATAAACAGCAATGATTCTGTGATGTAAATCACTGCATGGAAGATAACTTCCTGTGAACACCGTGCCATCCACAAATGCAGATTAAAGCTCTGCCATTGCAAAGAAGCTGTATGTGAACATGATCCAGCAATGCTGCCGTTTCTGCTATGTAGCTCATTAGCTTTAAAATGGACTGAGGCAAAGCAGGAAACTGTTCTGTGGTCGGATGAATCAAAATTTGTCGGTATTTTTGGAAAGCACAGATGCCGTGTCATCTGGACTACAGAGCAGAAGAACCATCCAGCTTTTTATGAGCACTTCAAACGACTCAATCTCTGAAGGTATTGGGGTGCGTCAGTGCCGATGGAACTGGCAGCTTGCACATCTGAAGAGGCACCATCAATGCTGAAAGGCAAATACAGGTTTCCTATCCAGGCTATGTCTTTTTCAGGTATGGCCTTGCATATTTCAGCAAGATAATGCTTTATGCATTTATTGCAACAGCAGGGCTTCATGTTAGAGGAGTCAGGGTGCTGAACTGGCCTGCAGTTGACAACTTTTACCCAATAAAAACAATGGAGATGAAAAACGTGAGAAAGCAGACCCAGCACTGTTGAGCAGCTAAGAATCCTTCATAGGACCAGAATGGAACGGCATTTCTCTCCAGACGTCCAGCAGCTGTTCTCCTCAGTTCCCAGATGTTTACTGACAGGGTGCACAGATGTACCATGATAATGTCGTAACTTTTTGTTACATGTGGCTGCCATCAAATAGAAAATGAGCTAGTATTTTTCTTAATGTGATACATTTTCTCAGCTTAAACCTTTGATGTGCTTTCTATGTTCTGCTGTGAACATAATACGGGGTCTTCATGAGATTTGAAAGTGCATTCTGTTTTTATTTACACTTTACACAGCATCCCGGCTTTTCTGAAATATTCTCATAAAACACTTTCTAAGCAGAGAGTAAACCACCCCTCTGAAACTTGTCATTTTGGTAGCAACATGCTTAAAGTCCTAACCGGGTGACACTTTAAAGTGCATTAAACGGGATGCAGAGATCAGAGCCGCTCGGACAAATTCACCTCGTGCAGAACTTTTGTTGAGCTCATGGATTTCTCAGCACTGTACCCCAGCAACCAGCAACACACAGACCGCAACACATATCTCCACCAGCTGAAGCTGCACTGTCAGTGTGCTCCAATCATCCAGTTCAACTGAGACATGTGTTTCCCTTTTGCACCCTGAGGATGATGTCACATCCACAGAGTCATGTGCTCCCCAAGTACAGCCTAATTTAAAACATATCCACATCCCTGAGTCAGATCAGTGTGACCCGCTTTTAAATTTTTGTTTTACATCACAGAGCTAACATGAAGGCAAAAGTACACAACAACAACAGAAAGAGGTACAGAGTGAGAAACTTCCTGCGGATAATGGGTTAGTGGGACTTCATAATCGCTCCCTTGGGCGAATAAACCCTTTCTTGGGCGAGATAATAGCACACATACCAGGACAGGGTGAGTTTGATTTGTGTTGTGGCAAGAAATTTGCGAAATCTCTGTCATTACTGCGTCTCTGTCCTGTCCTCACCCTGGTTTTGCACAGGCGTGTGCAGAACCTCAGCCCGCACACAAACTCCTAATTAAAGCCTGAATTAAATCTCTCACAGAAATTGCTTTGTTATCTCTATGATAAAATGTTTCATTTCAACCACTGCCACTATTATTATAAATCTATCAGCAACATAGCTCACTTTTCCTTTCTTTCATATAATCTAATGTTTCATATGATAATACCATAACAGGTCAGAATTTTAGCTAGAAGCCATTGACAATATCTTCACACAAGGATTAATGTTGACCTTAGAACAACTGAAACCATTGTGTTGCCGCTTGACTAGTGTGCAAACATTATAGGAATGGGAAATGAACGCACACTTTGGGACGTGTGGTGAATATATCGCGGGTAAAAAAAAAAAGAAAAAAAAGAAAAGAAAGCACACAGTGTTCCAGAGCAAGCAGGGCCAGTGATCATGACAGATTAATGGGGATTGTCATTGGAGAGGAGTTCAAACCAGCAAGAAATCATTTCCAGTCAGCTTGTTGCTATTTACACCAAACGTAACTCTGTGGCTCTTAAATTTCAATGTTCCTGAAGCTCTCATTTTATAGAGCGTAAGAAAAGATGATCATGTTCAGGGTTGAATGCAGAAAAGACAATGAATGAAGAGTGTAGGTTTTTAAAAACACTTTATTTATGTGCACCTTTAAGAGGACGCAACCCTCTCGCAACCTGCGATGGTAAACACTTATTCTATTCAGGGTGGCGGCTGCACTGGAGTCAGTCTGTTGCAGGGCTAACAAGGACCACAAGCAACCTGACATGCATGTCTTCAGAGTGTGGGATGAAGCTAGAGTACCTATATGCAAATTCCACACACAAAGCTTTCAGCAGACTGGTGCATTCAAACCCAGGGTCTTTTTGCATTGAGGCATAGTGCGAACCATAACATCATGTTTCCCCTGTAACCTTCATCTCTTACTCAACTCTTAAATGCTTCGTCTACCAATGAAAATCAAGGAAACATGACTGCATTACCCCTGCCCTTATTGTAAAATGACTGAACTCAATTAAATTCCATTTTATTTATATAGTCACAACAACAGTCAAGGTGTGTGACATTGTAAGGTAAAGACCCTACAATAATAGAGAGAAACCCCAACAATCAGACGACCACCTCTGAGCGAGCACTTGTCAACAGTGAGAAGGAAAAACTCCCGTTTAACAGGAAGAAATCTGGTTGGCGGTGTTTAACTATAAACAGATCAGATCTGTGAGAACCTTTAATGTTATATTTTGTCCTTTAAGTAGCATCATAATTTTAAATAAGGAGACTTTAACCCCTAAATGTCAAACTTTATTACACCAGGAAACATTTTGTAAGTGATTTTACGCTCAAGTCACTCAGAGCTAAAAAAAGAAATAAATAAATCTTGTGGAAAATAATATTTTAGAGTCAAATGTACCATTAAACAGATTTTTCTGCATTGTGACCGAAAGTCTGTTTCTAACTTCTCATTTGTCATTTCTTGCTTTCAATGGAGTGTTTGACCTCTCAGGACCACCATAGTTGCGAGACCACAAACCAGTGTGTGATGATGACCTCTACCGCAACCAGTGTGGGATGATGGAAGGAAGACTGTACCCAAAAAAAAAAAAAAAAAAAAAAAAAAGATTTAGAGATAAATAACTAATGATTAAATGCAGAGTGGAACAGAACGTCAAGACTTTCTAAGGATTTGAAGGCACTGGGAGTCCACAGTCTCTAAACAGGCTATTCTGGCCATGTGTGAAAGATAAGACACAAGTAAAATAATTTCATATTGCAAAAATGATCAGGCTAACTGTACTTTATCTTGGCTCCAGCACTGTTACTCCACAGCGACCTGACTCTGTGACCAAGACCAATACCCTGCATTTAACAGATTTATGCAAAGACAGGGCTGTGCATCGCTTTAATAATACCACATGTCTAATTCTGCCTTTCAGCATCAGCGTGAGTAGCTCTGTTTAAAAAAAACAAGAACACATGCGTGAGAGTCACATACCCGGTATGGCAAAAATGATGTTTTTGTTCTCAGTTTTCTGAGTAGATGTAATTATTGGCCCAAATAAGAAGATCTGTGGTCTGCTATGAATCCATACGGGCTCAGTCACTCAGTGTTTAAAAAGAGAAAGACCTATGTGTTTAAGGATTTTTGATTTTGACTCAGACAAAATGACATGGATATAGTATCAGTCAAGCAAACTGGGCTGCGTTTCCAGCAGTAACATGGGTTGGGAGAACAAGCCAGCCTTTGTTATAAAGCTTTAGTATCACAGAGAGCAGCCATTGTGCTTTAGAAAAGCCTCCTTATGGTTCATGTCCTCAGATTGTAATGGATCCTCAGCCCCAGTTTAACAAATGCAAGTGACTCCGGCCAACAGTGTATGCATTTCAATGGTCCTGGTTACTGCAAACGAACCAACTCATCAGTTGATCAAGCGTGGGACCAAACACCGAGAGGAAAAGAGGACAGACTTTTGAGTCACTGTGTGTCACGTCTTGGCCAAAGCACATTGTTTATTGTGGACACGTAACAATATAAAAACTCAACTGTGTGAATTTTGAAGCAGCTCAGACAATGACCAGTCCTAAAAACCAAAGATTAAAATATCAACAATCATTACAGGCCAGCAGAAACCACAATACCAAAGGAGGGGGGGGGGAAAAAAAAAAAAAAAACCCCACACCCTCAAAAATGAATGCAGAGAAACAGAGTAATCTAGAAAACACTGGATGCACAATTCTCACTTTACAGATGTTTTCAGAACATTGTGGGATTTTTGTTTGTCGTTTTTTTTTTAAGGCACTTGGGAGTGTGATTACATTCCCTTTCAGAACAAAGAACAAAAAAGAAAAACTACATATCTTTGGTCCGTATGAAATTTAAAAAAAACAAAATAAAAGCCAGGGTATGAAAACACCACCAGCTTCATTGTCTGCTTCCTCAAAAATGCACACCTGACAAAGTTGTTTTTTTTAATACTTAAAGATATTATCGCTACATCTCAGAAATGACCAGCAATCTTACAGATTCTTCTCTTGCAAGAGAAAACAAGTGGAAAAAAAAAAAAATTTAAAAAATGAAGAAAAAAAAACGAAAAAAAAAAAACTTGTCGGCTCAATCAGATGTACAGCAGTACAGGATTGTTTTTATAAAGTCACATTTGGCAAATGGGTTTCATTATTGTTTGTTTTCAGTCCACATCCTGGACAGAGCGATGCAGTGGAGACACAGTGACCTCCGCGCCCTGACACCAGCTCAACTGCAGGGCAGCCACGTCTGATATGAAGCACTGCACGCGGCGACCTGTGGCGGCTGCACGTGTGCAATATAATAGTTGCTGAAGTTTATGTCCTGCACATACGGCGCTGGCTGGTAGTAACAGGTCACATTGGTTACTGTGGGGATAGCATTCTGCTCAGCCAGCACCTTCAGCGCCAGCATGGAGATGAGGCTGAGCGTCTGGCGCCGCTCGTGGCCCATCAGACACACTGTGCTCTCGTTCACTACTTGGTGCAGAGTCGTGAGGCACTCGTACCGCTTGTGCTCCATCCCGGCGAAGTGGTTCTGCAGATAAGCCTCGAGCTTTCTCTGCTGCTCACCTATGTCGGGGAAGTCAATGAAGAAGCGTGAGCACATGTAGCGCTGCATCTGTTTCATGTCCGCCTCTGACGAGGGTCTGAAGCCTCGCACGAGCAAGTGGCAGTACTTCAACAAGCCACCCCCTCTGATTTCTTCAGGGGTGCGAGTAGCTATGGTCCTCTGACACAGATGTTCCATAGCTTCTTTGAAGTCCCCGTACACGCTTTCGCCAATTACGGTGGGGTGAAAGCTCTCAGACATGGGCGTCTCAGAGCAGCGGTCAAACAAGAGCAGAGAATCAAGGCAAATCTGGAAGGAGTCTACACTGAATTCAAACTGCCGCCGTAAAGAGTCCACAAACTTAAGCTCCACGTTCTTGCCTGTGTTGTTGGACAGCGAGATGAGGCTCCAACGGTCCGTGTCATTGCAGACTTTCACAAGTTTCTGCACATAGGCCTCTTTAAGGGTCAGTGCTGTGATGCGCTCCTTAGAGACCCCGGCTGGCAAGAAGTCCAACAGGCAGTCCAGCACGACGTCTTTCACCAGACGGAAGGCCTGGTCATCTTTCAGCGACACGCCAAAGATCAGGTCGAGATCCTTGTAGCCTAGTCCCGTGTCCTGATGGAGCACGTGGCTGGCAGCCGAGCCGTTCAACCTCACATCCTTAACATGCACACCTCTTTCCTCCAGCCTCGCTCGCACAACCTGGACAGGGACGAGACAAATACAATCTTATTAATAACATACACTTTCCTTGAACAGGAGGCGAAGGTAATTGCTTCATAGGATCAAAAATGGCATATAAAAAGACTCAAGTCAAATCAATAGCTGGCATTAAGGGTCAATAGCCTTTCCTTTGCTCCAGTGATCAGCACATATTTAAACACAGGAGTCTTCTCTTTGTGTAGCCACATCTGAAAAGGATCATCTACATCATCGCTATTAGGTGCGAAGGGAAGGGTCGGAGTCCTCAAATAAGTCATCAAAGATTGATTGCGCTTACATGCCCAAAGGGAAATGATACCCCACATGCGCCATAAAACATTCTGTTCTCAAACATTTGGAAATATTTAAAGAGTCGAGTGGTAAGAGCTGCAGCTTCCTTGTTCTATCCGTCAGTCTATTTGGGAAGTTTGTCACTTTAATTAGGCATATGCACAGCAGACGCTAGAGAGGATTAGGATAAGAGTGTAAATATGTGCTTAGCTGACTAAATGTGTTAGCGGCACTTTGACGTCACAGCATTTTGGGAACTGAAACAGCCGAACCTGCTACACAAATTAGTTGTTACGCCTCGCATGCAATCCTAAATCTTCCTACCGGCACTAACCTGTCAGATTAGTGTCTGTTGACAATCCCTCCCATGGTGATCAGATAACATGACAGTGCTATTTATACATACTGGGTCAGGCTACAGACTGACAAACACTTGAAGACAAGTCATCCCATCACACGGCGGAGGAACAAAATTATAACTGAAACCTAGAAGCGTTGCAGTTGTTTGGCCATAAAGAAGCTCCAATTGGGTTCAAATTCCATTTAGAAGCAATGATAATGTTTCTAGTTTCTTCTGTGACCAACCTGATCTGCCAATCACAGTAAAATTCACTCAGCCCCACACTGAACTCCTTCCTTTGCTCCTACATGCTTGGATGCAGGTGAGTAGTTAAGATCCCCTCGCTTCCCCTGGAAGCCCAGGTATTATTCTGCTGGCTTAGGATCAAATCCTTCCAGAAAGACTCCAGCTCCATCTGAACTAGTCGGTCTTTCTTTAAATAATAATGAAGAAAGGGCATGTGAAAATGTGTGTTGTTCATTCATAAACCCTGAGCAGAGCATATGCTGTTATCCTAATTGATGCGGGACTCTTACTCCTGCAGGGCTTCATGATGCTGTATCGGACACAGCATGTTTATACCTCCAACCCCGCAGCTAGACAAAGCCCCACACTCACTCATGCCTTGTGTGATGCATAGCATAAAAGGTACTCACCTAGATCAATTCAAAAGACAAGGATAAATAGCCTTACTTTATACATCTTGCCAGGAGGTTCATTAGCTTTCCCTACATGAATCATAGATGCATTCTACGGGGTTTCCATGAGTCCAGAGCAAGCCTGAGAGTCCCCTCATCTGGGTCTCAAACCTGCATTTAGGCCTTTCTGCATGTTAAATGGAGCATTCATCTTTTCCACAACCACAAGCATCAAGCTCCTGGGCTCGCATGTTTGCTGAGCTCATCTTGAATATGTCAGTGAGTAAATTACAGAAAGGGGGGGGGGGGGGGGGGGGATTCTTTAACAGCTGTATGCACATTTTGAAACTCTAGCATGGGATTTTCTCAGCACTTTAATGCATTGCCAACGAACTCAGATACACCACAGGGGAAGTGAAACGTGATCCAGCCACAATGCATTAGAGGCTGGAAATGTGGAAGCCGTTCAGGGCCATGCTAAAGCCAGCATATAACAGGTTTCCCTCTGTCTGCTGTTTGAATATGACGGAAACCAACGCTGCAGTTTGACTTTTTATGTGCCAGTAAATCAACATTAAATGCTACAAAGCAAAAGGATGAAGTAAGCAGACATGCAGGAAACTTTTAGAACGTTTGACACAGTAATCTGCTAAGGAATAAACAGCACTGCTCCAAATAGCAACGCAAAGTTAGCCCCAGAATGAGGAAACAAAGCAAACAAAATTATGTTATGGAAATACAATTAAGCAAGGAGGGAGCCAAGGAACCGAGAGGGTTACATCCTGAATGGATCAGTAGGCCACCAGAGGACGGTGAGGGGTTTCCAGTGTTCAACAGAGTACAGCACTGTTTGTTTTGTGGTAGTTTATTGTGCCATTAGTATTTCACGTGAAACTAGAAAGAAAAAAATACGATTTTTTAATTTAAAAAAAAGACGTTGCTTGACTGAGAGGTCCTGATTGATATTAATAATTTAAATATCATGAATTTGGCTCAAATTGAGCTGTCAATATAAAAGTGAAACATTTTATCATTTTATTTTTTCTTAATTCTCTCTTGGTACCTGGACAATCTGGCGGGGCTGTACGGAGAGCGTGGGGAAGTTTCCTCGGCCGTGGATGGGGATAGCCTCGCCCAGGATCGAGTCCAAGCGCTGCACCTGATCCCAAGACAGCACGCAGAACCGCCGACTGTGATCCGACTCACCAGACATGGCGTTGTGAACTTTTAAGTCCCCCCCACCCCGAGAAAGAAATCAGCAGAGTGTGAATCAGCGCTTCCTCCCAGCTCAGCTCGGTGTCTTCAAAGTGCGATAATTCCTGTGTGAGCAGATCCGGATATTATTACTGGAGGCAAAAGACCGGAGAGGAAGAAAGAAGGGGAAAAAAGTTTCTTCTCAGATGTGGATGTTTCAGTGGGAGCCGCAGTTTCCTCCTTTCTCTGTGCGTGCTGCTGAAATCCGGTCAGTCTGCGAAGGTCCAGAGGGTTTAAAGGCTCCTCATTAGCATGAGCCCTGTGATTGGCTGCTGTGTTTGGTCATTGATTATGGATGCCCTGCCCTGCCCGCAGGGAACACCCTTCATGTGACGTACTTGACAGCTCGGTGAGTTCTGCTCCATCTGCGGTGCAACCCCGCATACCATCAGGGTTTTCCTTCAAACCAACACTCCTGGGATCTGCATCGCTTCAGCTCCGGTGCTGCTAGAAATATTAGCTATTAGTGATATGTCATAGATTAGATTACAGTTGTGCAAACACGACACACGCATTTCACCTTGCAACCTTTTCAAATTTCTTCATGGGGAAATATTTGCAGAGCATACAGGATGTTTTTGCTGTATGCTTGCGTCTATATTGTCCAATTGATCATGCAATTAATGATCATGCAAGCCTTAAGAGCAATCATAAAAAAAAACCGAACGAAGTCTGAGATTTTCCTGGAAGCTCTGCGGACTCAGCTTTGTATCTTTGCAGTGATAAAAGCACTCTCATACCCATTCCTTCTTGGCTTGTGGCTCTTTAAAACAGTCTAGCTGTCAGCAGTTGTATATCTTCTAGTAGCTCTTACTCGAGCTCTGTTTTTTTGCTTTGTCTAAACAAAAAAAAAGTAGTAATTTACAAACAATAGAAGGAGCACAAAATTAATTTTTATGTTGCAAATTCTTACTTTCAGTTCCCAATTTGGGAAATACGTGACAAACTACATCCATTATTCAGCAGCTTGTAGAGGCGCATTTATCAGCAACAACTTAAAAATAGTCATTTTCTGTGTGACTTTATCAGTTTCTTGCATCATCTTTGCAAACTGTTCTTCACAACATAGCTTCAGTTCATTGAGGTTAGCAGACATTTGCTTTCTCTTAAGGTCTGCCACATCATTTCATTCAGGTTAAGATCTGAAATCTGACTGGGTCATAATCACACCTTGAATATTTTCCCTTTTCAGCCATTCTGTTGTGGAATTGCTGCTGTGCTTAAGTTCATTGTCATGCTGTGTGACACAGCATCAGCCTCACATTTGACTCCAGAGTACTTTGGTTTATAGAGGAGCTGGTCAACTTAGTGACTGCAAGGTGCCCAGATCCTGTGGACACAAAACAAGCCCAAATTATCGCCCCTCCACCACCCCTAGCAACCCTTCCAAACAACCATAATTTTTTTAGGTTTTTTGTCATTGTGCTGTCATGAACGTTGACATTTAACTTGCTAGCTGAGGCCCGTAGAGTCTGAGATGAGCTTATGGATTTTTTTGAGGTTTCTCTGACCTATTCTGAGTCGTCCACAACTGGGAAGACTGTGTTAACGCAAACATGAATGTTCCAGACCAGAAAACTGTGAACACACTTGCTGATGATCCGTTAACAGAGTTCATTTAATCTGCACCACCTGGTTGCTGCTTACCCTCCTAATTCCTAAGAGTTCAATTCAGTTCAATTCAATTCAAGTTTATTTATATAGGGTCAAATCCCAACAACTCCAGGCATTATACTATAAGGTCAAGGCCCTACAGTAATACAGAGAAAACCTCACCAATCAGCCAAGCCCCATATGAGCACGCACTTGGTAACAGTGGCAAGGAAAAACTCCCTTTTAAAAGGAAGGAACCTCCAGCAGAGCCAGGCTCAGGGAAGGCCAGCTATGTGTGCAACCGGCTTGTTATTGAGGCGAGGAAGACAAGACAAAAGACTGTAACCCATTTTATAGATTTTGTTTCTGACATATTACAGTCTTCTCAAATAGTTGTGAGTCTTCCTCACCCAGGCCTCTGTTATAGCCAACAAAAATACTTTTTTCCATCCAAGAATTTGTTGATAAAACATGTCAATCTATTTTTTTTGTTTAAATCCAGAGGCTGCTTGTTAGTATTTGAACTCTAATAGCAGGCTGTGAACACTCAAAGTTCTTGCTTGCTCAGCACTCATTTATTTATTGCTGTTATCGCTGTTAGAGAAAGTTTAAAGTGGAAACTTGATATGAGAGTCATTTATTCATTCACCGATTTAATTTGCTCATGGCTGTGCTGGTGTTTATGAAAAGACTCAGATAATGATCTTTTTAGATTAGACTTTTCAGTTCCATTGCTTTCTACTATAGTCTCCTTCCATGCTGAGCTGATTGGGTTTTTATGTGATTTGGTGCAGATACAGAGTCATTCCACTGATCTCAGCAGAACATTTGCAGTCTTTCATGCCTAATACTCTCTGCGCTAGTCAAGACCATCCACAAACTCTTCCGCTTTTTACTGGTGTGGACAACTGCCACATTATTGTTGCCTTTAACTGTATATCCTGTTTTGCATGCAGCCTATTATGTGTTTAAATGCACTAAATAGCCCTTAATGAGAGTCCTCACGCAAATGTAGACATTACGCACAATAGCAGACGTTACTCTCTCAGTGAAGGCCCTCAGATTTTCTGGGTATATAATTTGTCAGTGAACAATACAGGCAATAAGTTTTGCAATTTCCTCTTTTTAAGATATATCATCATTTATAAAATCCCACACGTCACATTGTCTGTCAACTCGGGTTGTTTGTGCACCTGTAAAATGTTTACAAGAGAGTAAAGTTCATTTCAGGATCGACCTGAATGTGTTTTTAGTAATGAAGCAGTAAAAACAGGATGGCTGGGAACACGCGCAGGCAGGCACGCACATTAAAACGTCTTCCCAAGACGTATGTGTACCTGTGTTCGGGTTCGACCACTACTCGGGTGTTGCCAGCAGATGCACAGCCGGAAGTAGATGCATAACCCTGCCTCACAAAAGCTCCCAGAGGTCAAAGCGGGAGTCGGGCTCATTCATTTAAGACATCGTGATGTCGACATCTGGGCAGAAGCGTCCCCAGCTGAGGGTGTTTGCCGGGTACTGAGGTGAGAAAACTGCGTCATGCATCTATAAATAGCCCACCGTGTGGCAGCTGTGCATCCTGGGAGCGGAGCCAGCATCCCCCCTGAATGTGAAACACTTGGCGACGAGTGAACAATGAAGGCAGGTAAATGTCAGTTCACCTGACATTCTCAGGTTCCCTCACAGCCCTGTGTCAGCGGGGGGAGCCTTTTCTGGATGAGAAGAAAAGACTTTAATGCAGTGGAACAAAAGGACATCTTACACAAACCGCCTGTATCTGTACAGCAGCTTTTATTTCCTACCTCACCTTTTGTTAATTCATGTCTTTGTTATTGTAGCCTCCATTTACACACAAGTTTGACATCCTGGTGGAACTACGGCAACTGAGACTGTGAGTCTTGTAGGCGTGGTGAGATAGCCTGTATTTAAACACACCTTAAACAAATGACACATAAGACAGCTGTATTTCCCACTTTAAACCACAATCAAATTATCTGATATCATATCTCACAGTACAATAATATTGAATGGGTTGCATTGTTGTATTTTGTCATGTTTCTCAGGTCTTTGTCTGAATTTCTACGAACATTATTGCTAAGGATTGTCTTATTGCATTGGAGTCACACTGGGTTAAATATGTACACTTGGGTTTTAAGGGGTATTTATTATTTTCTTCTTTTTTTTTGGGTTGTATGGAAGCCCCAAACGCAATTTCATTGTTCTTGACAATGACAATAAATAAATAAATACTAAAATACTAAACATTACTAGGAAATCTGGCAGCCATGAGTGCACATTATTAGAATTTAAATGAAACTCTATTCAAGATATTTGTGATTTTTTTTTATCTTTAATTACTTCCATCCTAAGAGGCATCAGATAGCGGCCGCTGTTGTTGTCAGACGCCTCAGCGAGTAGAAGATGAACAGTGCAGCGGAGTGAGCTCGTCTCAAGTGAATGGGACACGTTTGGACGTCACAGGATGTCGTAAGAAGCGGCTGGAAACTGATGTTGCCACAGTGATCAGTTGTGTGTGAGCACAGATAACAGCGTGCCTGTCACAGTGGATGAATTGTGTCTGTCAGGGCCCCCAAAGTCCAAGTGAATTATTTCCCCCATAGGAGATTTCTTTTTCTCATTTAACACTGAGCACATTCAGACGTGTTATACAAGATCACCAAGTGTCTGCTATTATTAGAGAGGGCGTCACATGTAACTTTGGACAGTGTGGCTAAAAACAGCCATGCAGCTGTTGCGTGTGTGACATGACACTGCAAGTGTGATTTTGAATCAAAATCTGCTTGGATTGTTGCAAATGAATTCACCCAGTTTCCGTTTAGGTTTTCCTCTAAGATCAACCTGCCACAGTGGCAGATAACCTGCCTATACAACCTGGTTGAGCTGACCAGTCAAGCCGGACACCGGGACCTACCTGAGATAGAGGGAATGTGTGATAAGAGCAAGTTTACTTTTCCAGATTGCTCCATATGAAAAAATCTATGGCACTGCGGAGTGAGGTTACGCAAGCGGCTGTGCGGCTGACGTCAGGCTCCCTCTGTTGCCTGCTTGATTGATTACAGTAGTACTAAAGTGAACTCTAGTGCACCTGGAAAAAATAAAGACACGCCAAAACACATTCAAGGAGCTTTGTGCCGCACATGCACTCTCTGCTCTGTGCACACACGCACCTGTCAGATAGGGAAAAAGCGAAACTTTGAAAAAGTAAACACATCCTTTTACTCTACACCTTCTGTTGTGGCAGACCTACACTGCCTCGTTGTAACCAGGCTTGTCTTCCCACTGGTGTACTTAATAAGTCAGGACTACAAACACTGTACGGTGAACAACACACCGATCCTGTGAGATCAACACAGGAGTGAAACCAGTTCTCAGACGTAAATTTTATAGGCCATCGAGCAGCAAGGCTCCACCAGCGTGTCTTGAGGACTACCTGCTGCCATGGCACCCTGGTTAGCTGGTATCTCTACTCCATCATCAGGTTCTTCCTCTTGACTCTGCTTCTTTCACCATCTCGTCATCATATTCTTTCTCTGCTGCGTGGATCCCACTCCTAACACTACTTGTGACGAATGACCATGGAGTAGCAGGGCTCCAATCACTGC